ACTGCATGAAAATATAGTTCAATTCAAAATGAAACTCAAATGCATCATAAAGCAAAAAACCATTAAATAGTACATCGTAAAAATGGTATATGACAAATTTTACAAGTTAACAATTTGCCATAACTCTAACTAAAATATACCAAATAGCCCTAGCAATTCACATCAGTTGCAAGAAATGAAATTTGAAGAAGCAACGACCAGGCAGCTACCTTTTGAGGCAGAACAGAATCCTCCTTAGAAAGACTGATGCACAACTTGCCTGTCTCCTGCTGACATATCATGCAATCAACTTCATTGCACGTCAAGATGACGTCAGGTGATGATGATGACGACGACGATGAAGATGATGATGATGAAAGTGATTGAGACAGCAGATTCCAACCGAATATGCCACAGCAATCAGTTCTGCCAGTGAAATAAAAAATTTAAATTAATTTTTTGAGCACAAAATATTAAAGATGATTAATTAATTTATTAAGAAAACATTGAAAAACAACAATAGCAATGTCACAGTAACATTAAAAAATTGTGCAACATGCATTATATTATAACAAAAAGAAAACTATGACACACTATCTATATAGTTTGCAATAAAGTTGAAACCCAAAATTCTAAGTTTAATAATTTTATAATTTTACATTTAGTAACAAAAATCAAACCAACACACTTTGGAATAATTTTTGTGCTGTAAGTTTCAGAGATAGTGTTATTATTATTATTATTATTATTATTATTATTATTATTATTATTATTATTATTATTATTATTATTATTATTATTATTATTATTATTATTATTATTATTGGCCCTTTCTGGTTTGTTGCCATTGGATCTTTCAATGACCTTAACCCCGACGACCTTATTTTTGAATCCAACCAATGGGAGAATGAGTTTGGTGTAGTCAGCATCCAATCGAATGTTGTACCTCTTTAATGTTTCTATTTTTAGATCCTTCAAAAAAATAATAATATGGGGAAATTACTCCAATTTCAAATTATAATTTAACAAAATAGAACGTTAAAAAACGTAAATATTGATCGAATATATAGAATCTGATGGGAGCAAATTTTATTGAAACTTGCTTCAGATATCTTTAAAGAAATTAATTCATTATTTCAAACGAAAATGGAATAAAATGAAAAAAATATAAAACAATGCAATATAATGAAGATAAGTTATATACATAAACTAAAAAAACAAATAAGTTAATTTTTTCAAGTAAAAAATTGCAAAAAAAAATAAATTTTAAATTTTAATTATAAATAAAGAACTGTTAAGAATGTTTAACAGAACCTTTAGATGCAATTCACTCAGCAAATTATACACCTTCCCTTGCTCACAATCTGCAATAGCAAGGGATTGTTCATATAGTTGCTGGGCTTTAACTGAACCAGCACCTGCTAGGATGTCTTCAACTTTGGAGTCATGAGTGAAACACGCGGGCAACCTAGAATGAAAAAATGGATAAGTTAAATTTGTTTTAATAATAAAACAAATATTATTTATAAAAATATTATTGTATTTATAATAATATTAGTATAGATAAGTAAATAAACTAATTAATGTATTTATTTATCTATCAATTTATTCATTCATTCATTCAATCATTCATTCAATCATTCATTCAATCATTCATTCAATCATCCATTCATTCATCCATTCATTCAATCATTCATTCAATCATTCATTCATTCATTCATTCATTCAATCATTCAATCATTCATTCAATCCTTTATTCATTTATAAATTTATTCAGATTGTGATTCCATTCCTCAAGTATGTGTAGTGTATCTAGAATGAAAATACTTTTTCTTAGCATTTAGACTGATCTCCAGATGGTGCATGTTCTCAACGAGCTCGCTCCAAGAACCGCACTTATTGCAACTCTGGCACACAAAAAAACCTGTATAGTTATAATAATAAGAAGAAGAAGAATTGTTATTATTCTTATTATTAAGATTATCACAGCATATAGAGTATTATTATTCTCGTTATAATTCAGACATGGACATCATCTTCATTATATCACAATGTTTTGTATGTTTCCTTATTATAACAGATACCTGTAGTCGAGTTGACGTAGAGTTGATCAAGTTTTTCCAGCTTCATCTTACTCCTGCAATGTCTCAAGCAGGACGTTACAATGCATGTGAAACCTTCGCTGTATGCTAAGTTCATTTTTGTGAGGAACTTAATTATTTCTTTCTTCGTTATTGGCTGCATGTCTTCGAACGATAAGTTTTGCTTTGAAATATGAACATTTCAGTTTAATAGTTCAATTGAACAGTTCAGTTTATTATCATTAATAATAAAATTGCTAGAATTACATCCACACATTTACAAATTAAATTGATATATAATATTTATAAATAAATATTAAATTAATAAATTGATATGAAAAACCATTGACAAAAGGCAACTAACAACTGAATTGTTGGAAATAATTGAAAATTTTAAAACTAAAAAATATAAATATAGTAATAACTTATAAAATAAGTAATAAGACTTTTGTAAAAAATACTTCATTAAAAAACAAAACAATTTTATAAAATTATTTTATGAAAATATAATATATATAATTATAATATAAACACCTGTTTGGCCACATCTTCACCATTGGTATTATTTTTGTTGGTAGTGTTATCACTACCGTTATTCAATTTTTTATCATTGTTGGAGAAGGAGCCATTGTTACTGCTAAGTTGTTTGAGTGCAATGAAAGTTTGAGGGACTTGCTTATTGGCAAAGAGATATTTTTTTCTGTATTTTACGACTGGATGATGACCAAGTCGAAGAAGTTTGCAAAGCAAATCGTTCATTCTCAACAAAATTAGATCAGCTAAACTCTCTGAACTGAAGACAGGATGAAATAAAAAATGAGCCAGTGGCAAACACAAAGTCGGTAGTCGTTCAAGTTCAGTAGTTCAAGTGATAATTCACATTCTGTGCCGTTGTTAAGCGAGACATGAATAACTTAGCGTAGATGGTGAAAGATTTTTTTTAGATACATAAAAAACGAATTCTGAACTGTTTTATAAAAATATTTTTATTAAAAAATAAAACACGAGCCCGGCAATTTCAAATAGATTAAAAATTACTGAACGATAATTCAACAACAACATTGAGCATAGTAAAAAAAACTCGCTGTAAATATTTGTTAAAAACAGAAACAGGTTCAATCAATCAATCAATCAATCAATCAATTAGCTTATAAAGCGCTATTTCCGCGATGTTCAACAGCGCTCCTCAATGAATTTTGAAAACAGATGGGTCTTGAGATCCGCTCTGAACTTCGCAAGTGATGGAGGTAGAGAGTTCCAGAGAAAAGGACCAGAAAAAGCAAAAGCAGATTTGGCAAAAGAGTGTTTAACACGAGTTAAGAAAAAGCGAGAAGAAGAAGACGATCGTAAACCGGGGCGTTTAGGGTTCAATTAATATATCTGATAAATACTTAGGAAATAATTTAGATTGAGACTTATACATGAACGTGCAAATTTTAAAAATTATTCTATATTTTATAGGTAGCCAGTGCAAAAGAACAAGATATGGAGATATATGAGAAAAGAAAGGGGCACGAGCAACTAGACGAGCAGCAGAGTTAAAAGCTTTACTTAAAGGATAGAGTATAGAGTCAGGAAGACCATAGTAGAGCGAGTTACAATAATCAATCCTAGATAAGACTAACGAAGTAACAAGAAGGAGAAGAGTAGGATCATCAAGAAAAGGCAAAAGTTTTTTTATTCTACGTAGATGAAAGTAAGAGCTTCTAGCAACACTATTAATCTGAAAAGAGAGAGACATAGTAGAATCAAAGATAAAACCTAGACTACGAAACTTATGAGAGACATCAAGAGTTTTAGAATCAGGTAAGATAATAGGAGGAATAGTAATAGAGTGTTTAGATTTATTAAAACAAATTAATTCTTAAGTTTAAAACACATAGTCAGACCAAGCGATAATTGAAGAAGGACATAGAGTTAAATTAAGAAGAACACTATTGAGATTAGATGGAGGAAAAGAAGTATAAATGAAAGAATCATCAGCATATAGTTGACTAGAGAAAGAAAAGTTATTAATAATACGAGGTAGTTCAGAAGTATAGAGTATAAATAGAAGAGGGCCAAGGATAGAACCCTGAGGTACCCCGAAAGTAAGAGTAGAGGAGTTAGAAGTAGAATTATTGAGAACAACAGAAGAAAAACGATTACAGAGATAAGAAGAAAACCAAGATAGACAAGAATCAGTAATATTAAAAGAAAGATGCAGCAAGGTTAAACCAACTCCCCTCACATACCAGGCCCTTCCTAAGTTTATATATAAAAAGTATGTTAACTTATCATAGAAGAGTTATTGTGAGAATTAAAACAGCCTTATGCTTATGAAAGGAAGAAATCCCGGTCATTCACATGCAAAGTTTCATGGTTCCAGTTCGCTATTTTACATGAATATTATGTTGTCTGCGTGTTGAACGTCGGGGAATGCCAAGAAATGCAGAAAAGATTTTCTGGAAACAAAGTTCACATGTAATAATCACCAAAAAGATCTAACTTTTACTATTGTCAATACGTAATCTGTCCTTATTCTGTCCTTAGTAATAATATAATTAATTTTGTATCTCTAACTATTTATGTTTGAGACGCACAATATTAAATTAACATTAGTTAGTTAGTATATATTGATGTTATATTTGTTTTCTTACAACCAAACGAAAAACGAACTGTTTTTCTTTAAAAATAACTTGCGTATATTCATAAAATAGCGGAAGAAACACAAATCAAAAGCCTTAATGATCCAAGGTAGTTAAAATAGCAAAGCAAAATGAATATAGATCGCATCATTTGCCAAGTATATCATCTATTGACCACATTTTCTTGCGGCTCATTGTCGTTGCAGGAGTCTCCACTTGATTGTTGTTTGGGCACTCCACCACTGGCAACACTTGTGGTTTCTGTAAAGGATTGCCATTCAGCAATGCATCGAACAAAGAAGATGACGACAATGATGCAGCAGGACATAGTAATGAAGAAAACGGTGGCAAAAAATTTGATGAAGATGATGAGATGGATGACATCAAAGACGATGATGATGTCAAAAACGACGACGATGAGTATGAAGATGATGTAACAATAGGAGCAGCGGAGGAGACAGATGATGGTGACTCCAGTTCATCATCTTCCAGCTCGTTATTCATATCTCCTCCCTTCTTCATGCGTCTCCTGGCGTTGGCAAACCACGTTGAAATTTGTGTCAAAGTCATACTGCATTGAGCCGCCAAATTGATTTTGTCCTCTCTTGTGGGGTATGGGTGGTCAATGTGCTCGGACAACCAAGCCTTCAATTTGGCAGTCTTGGTCGGCGTGACTGCTGATGATGAGGATGAAGAAGAGGATGACGATAAAGATAACAAGGAGGAGGAAGCTGAAGACAAGGATGAAGACAATTTAAGATGTTGTTGTTCCACTGAAGGTGATGATGGTGATGATGGTGACGGTGATGTTTTGACTTGTTTCGATGATGGAGATGATGATGATGGTGATGAAACTGCTGATGGGGATGATGGTGATGCTGATGATATCGGTACTGATGATGATGCTACTGTTGATGTTGATGACGTTAATGATGATAATGCCATTGATACTGTTGTTGTTAATGATGATGATAAAGATGACGTTGACTCTGTTGGTACTGGCGCGAATGATGTTGGGGACGAGGATGAAAGAGAAAAGAGTGGCAGGGGGGTGGATGGTGGAGGCATCATCAGAGGCAAATAAAATGGGTTGGGAGCAAAGGGATAATTTGGAGGAAGTGGAAAATTACAAAACATAGAACGACTGAAAGATAATGGAAACATCGGTATCGGAGCAGATATGTCGGCTCGAAACCGTGGGAATTCGGACAGGAAGGAAACATCAAATGGTGGCAGTGGAAGCTGCGGTTGAGGTTTCATTTGTAGCCCGAGTGGAGTTGATTGATACTGCCGTGGTTCCGGGTCGTCTGAAGAGTTATCCAGAGGTTCCTCTTTTATTTTTGCAATTTTTTCCATCGTTGCATCAAATTGGTTGCCACCATTTTGTTCATCTCCGTCGCAACTTCTCATTCGTTTTTTGGCATTTATTTTTTCATCCATCATTCCATTCGTTTCCTCTTCCTGTTTGTGTTCACCGCCGTGGATTCCATCATCATTATTATTTCTCATTTCTGAAAGCTTGGGACAATTTCAAGAGGAAATTGAGCAGTTCAAACTCTGATTTTGTAAATGTGATTCTCTATATATTTATTGGATATTCAATTCACTGTCCTTTGGCTAAACTCTAACGAAGCTTCCAATGCAACAATTTTGTAAAATTACACGCGAAATTATTTAAACTCGAGTACGACAATTAGCTGAATGGTTCTGATTTAGTAAGTGCACGTTTATATATACTCTACGTGCTTATACTCATTTCACTGCACAAAGTCACTTTATTTACAATTCACCACCAACACAGAGAATTAGAAGTTTTATATATGCCTGTGTATGTATGTATGTGTGTGTGTGTGTGTTTTTATTGGTACCTCTTTGTTTTTTTTTTTTTTGTATAAGTGTCACTATGTGTTTTATTGTGTCTCCGAAATCTGCTAAGATCAAACAAGCTGTCAACTTTATGACTGAAAGTTATTAAAAGAGATTGTAATTAACTAATCACCGTCATAGTCGTTTGTGTTGTCGTTGTTGTTGTCGTTGTTGTTGTCGTTGTTGTTGTCGTTCACAAAATTCCTAATTTTATTGGTTACGTAATTTATTTGTGAGCATGAATGAATAGGGATCAAATACATTTAGCGTTGATGTGCATTTTATTTTTGGGAAAATAAATGTATGTTAATCTGCGTTAGAAAAATTGAAAAAGAGTTTGTTAGAATTATCATAGTTACTTTAAATGCCATCAGATTTCGTTCACCGATACTAAACAACTTAATGAGCAACTTTGGAAATGACTTTAATTTTTGTAAGTCATTAACTCATTCGTTCGTTCGTTCGTCATTCATTCATTCATTCACTCATTCATTCTATCATTCGAATGTTCGTCTGTATGTTTCTTTGTTCGTTCGTTCGTTCATTCATTCATTTGTCCATTCAACCAATTTATTAACCAATTTTATCAATTAACCTTTAATTTTTCAATTAATCGGTCGGCCATCTATTCATCGGAACTTTCAATTCCCACCCATCGTTACTTGATTCCGATTGGTGGAAGTTAGGTAGATGGGCGGAGCTAACAAAGTTATTAGTTAAAATGAACAATAATATTTTCATTATCATCAAACAGAAACCAGAAATAATTATTAGAATTATTATTATACCAATAATAATATATTATTATTTGTAACTATTTATAATATTTATGACATGCATACAAATATTTGCACCGCAGCATCAACACACAGGGGTATAAAATTAATACCTCTGCTGCTACTACTACACTACTACTACTACACTACAACTATTACTACTACTACAATTACTACTACAAATACTACTACTACTAATACTACCATTACTACTACAATAATAATAATAATTGAAATTAGAATAAGAATAATAAAACTAATAACCAGTCGTCGAGCCATATTAAAATGTTTGTGAAGCAATTGCTGTTAATGGCGGACAAGATTGAAGAGATAAGAAATGGATATACCGTCGGAGCTAACAATCATTAATTAACATGTTGTGTGTGTGGTGTGTGTGTGTATATTTTTTGAGTATTGTATGTGTATTTGGGCGTGTTTGTGTGTCTGTAAATTTATTAATTTTTCTAGCTTGATAATATCCATACAAAAATTAAATATACATGTACCGTATAACGATGTATGTTTTGTATTGTCTTAATGCTTCTACGTATGATTTATTGTTTGTGTTTATGTTTGTATATCTGATTGTATGTTTTTGTTTGTATATTCATGTTTGGGCCTTTGTATGTTTATCATAATTGCACGCACATATGTACATTAGTAAGTTAACAATGGTGACAAACAAGCTGCTAGTACCAGTAAATGTTAATGAGATAACATTTCAACCAGCCAGTAAATGCATCTACACCATGCTGATTAATTAATAAGGTGTCGTAAAATAATTTAATACATCGTTCATATGGTATTGTGTTAATTATCGTTTGTGTGTGTGTGTGTGTGCGCGCGCGTCTGTCTGTCTGTCTGTCACATATGTATATCAAATATGGCCTCTGTATATTGCCACAGTATATTGTCCATCCATATTGTCTATCTATATTGTCTATGTTATATTAATGAATAGTTTTTATGTTAGTAAATTTTTGGTGATGTGTGTGTTTGTGTGTGTGTGGTGTGTGTGTGCGCGTGTATGTGTGTAACTTTTATTGTTGGTCGTAAAGATTGAAACCATCAAGAAAATTGATTGAAATAAGGAATAGAGTGAAATGTAAGCAAAATTATAAAACTGTAAAAAAAAATTTATTTGAGTAATTTAAGGTATCATTTTCGTTTCGTTTTACAAGTTAAAACCATCAACATAATTTTATCATCGTTGTCGTCGTCATCATCATCATCATCATGGCAATCGATGTTATCATTACAATTATTAACACCAAAACATATGCTTACGTAGACAAGCACACACACACACACAAATATTCACGTACACAAATACAATAAAGGATGATTCCTAATAAGCAAGTGTGAAATAATGAATGGACATCAGCACACACACATGTGAGTGTATGTATGTGGGTATTTTACAATAGTGTAATAGTATACTAATACTAATACTATTGTAGCGATGGCATGTTTGTTTGATGTTTGTTGTGTAGTTGATTGCAGTTGTTGTTCATGTTGATTTGTTGCTTGTGAAGTAGTTTGAACTAAGACGTACGAAAGTCAAGTCATTCATTTTAGCACACGACTATTCATTCATTTGTTTATTGATTCACTCGTTCGTTTCTTCATTCATACACTCGTTTGTCTGTTCGTCAACGCATTTATTTGTTCGTTCGTTCGTTTTTTCGTCTGTTTGTTTTAGATAAATGTACATTAGCAGAAGCCTGGTTGGGTTTGTTGGGTTTGATTGAGAATATTTTCAACATTTCATTATTTATTCCACGAAAATTATAAATTAATATAACATGATTATCTATAAGTTATTTGATAACGATTGCTAGCAGGCATGCAGTCTTTTTTATCCATCATTCCTGATTTATTAGAAGGTTTATTTGGTGCAAACTGCTAATAATTAACATATCCTTTTATTCATTGTTACACGGATTTCAATTAAAGAAATTCGAAGTTTCATACAGAAACACACACACACACAAACAAACACTCACACACGCGCACACACACACACATACACTTGAAAAATAGCACTTACAAACATGCTTATACAAATCCTGTCTAGTATTGCAACAATGCATAACAGCAAATTATCAACATGAAACATTCACAAATAACCCACATGTCCTCAAAGAAGTCTCATAGTAGCCCTACAACTTACAAGCTGATGTGTGCACTTGAAGATTAAATTTGTATTCATTTAAAGATGTAAACACTCACATTTAAATAAGGTGTATATAGATGTACCTTCATACTAGAAAGATTTGTATGTCTGAGTTGTAAAGATTTGACGATTCTCTTTTTAGCCTCTTGTTTTTGTTCTTGTATTAGTTCGAGTTAGTTTCAACAATTTTTCTTCAAAATCACAACATTTTTTAAGTTCTTAATTACTATTACAATATAAAAACAGATTTTCTCTACTAATTATTGCTTGTAAGATTGTATTAATTATTACCATTAGGTAGTCTGGTAGTTTAATTTAGAATAAAAAATATTAAACAAAATTTAAAATCTCAAAACTTCCATAGGACGGATGAGAAAGATCCGACTTACACTCTTCAAAAACTTTCGATTCGCAGACGTTATTCTCCAGTTGTAAATTTTACTTTTTATAATGTGACTTTTTGTTACTAGTAGAGTCATAAATACATCAACCTGCATTCGACATAATTATTATTCATCATTATTATTTTATTGAGTATTGGTGTCACATTTTTATATTTTTATTATTTAACACTTTTATTACTTAATGTTTATATTATTTAAGATTTAAGATTTTTATTATTTAATATTTTTATCGCTATTGCCAATATTGTCCATCACAAATATTACAATCATTAATTTATTAGCTAATTAATTATTTAATTAATTAAATAATTAATTAATTGGCTATATTGACTTTTCCCACTATTTTGGTACCAGTCAATAGGAACCGGGTAACTTTTAATGAATGATTGATCAGACGGTAGGACGGACGAATGATTGGATGAATAATTGAATAAATGTTAGATTGGATGAATGATTGAGCAAATGATATCTATCAAGATAGAAGATATCTTTCAATACCTGCATTACATCAATAACTTGTTTAGTTACATGGCAGTCTGTGACAATCACTAATTATTTTACATCATTCGGTTATTACAATTAATATATAATTGTTAATAATTATTTGTTTATTAATTTTTTATTATCATTCACGTACAAATAAAAGTGTATACAAAATGATTATGAAATTTTGTCAACAACCAACCAACAACAACAAAAAAAACACAACGAAACAAAAAAAACACAACGACAGCAACAACAACAACACAGACGACGACAACAACAACAATAACACAGACTACAACGACAACACAGACAACTGCACAACGACAAGGCCCCATTAGTAAGTTATAATCTACTACGGCAACTTTACCAATCAATAAACTGACAGATTGTTTGATCTTATCAGATCTAGGTCGTTGTAAGCAAACAAGTGACATGCTGTGTGGACACATCACACACACACGCACACACACATACATGCACACATACACATACATACACACACATGCACACACACACAATTGCATTAAGCCAATCCACCAAGAGGCTACGGCTCAATCAGCCAATAAAAATCGTGTAACCTGACGTCCTTTTCACACGGACAGACATACGCACAAGTACACAGACAGACAGACAAACAAGAACCAAACCACATAAATAACTACACAGACTACATAATATTCATATTACCTGCATTACTCTTTCGGTTTTGTGTGCGTGTTTGTGCGTGCAAGAAATGGATTGTAAATCAGGCAAGTTGTTTATGTGTGGTGTGATGTTGTATAGACATATATATATACCCGAATATTTGTGAGAATCTGGGTATATCAGTTAATTTCCGTAATAGAGTAGTAGGTGGTCAGTGAGTTGTAAAATCTGTTACTATTACAAACTCGGCGGGGTTCGGATATATATTAAAATCGTTGTCAGCTCAGCTTCGGAATGTAATTGCGGTTTAGAACTTTCACATTTGAATACAAAAAATAATTTGTTTATACGATAAAGTACTGAATTTGTACACAAAAATTTAGATATACATATATACGTATTAGTGTTTCTTGTAAAAATTAATATACATACATATCAGATTTCTAGATATTGGGAGCTTAGGACATTGGATAAGATAACAATGGAAGATAAAAGAAATAACTTCATTCAACAGTATCAACAATCTCAACAACAACCTCAAACATATTCCCGAGATCAACCAATGTCCAACAAACAACAACAACAGCAGCAGCAGCAGTTTGACTCAAAATTATATATACGTCACAATTATAATAGAAAGAGGCATGCAAGCAAGCGACGATCATCTTCTTCATCTGCATCAACTGCCTCGGAAACTGGAGAACGTGATTCGCTAAAAAGAAGAAGATTCACAAAACAAAATTCGACAGGACAGTCACAGCAGCCAGAAAATGGTAAACAAGAGTCGGAAAACTGTAGGGACACCTTACGTCTTACGGATAGATGGAGTAATGATGAATCGGTTCCATGTTGTTTGAAGAACAAACTTGAGGTGAATAAGTTTTTATTATCTTATAATTAATTTTGTAATTTAGTAAATAAAATAATTAAATATTGAGACAATTATTTTAATCGTTTTATTTGATTGTCAGTAATGTTTTAATTATTTTTGAATTCTTAAGATGACAAATAATGGAAACGATGGTGACAAAGATGAAAACGAAATAAACGAGACAAACTCAAAAAGACGAAAGGAAAATTGCGACACGGCAAAACAGACGACCCCGAACCAGTAAGTTCAGTTTCGAATCATTTTTTACAAAATCAAATATCATTTAACACAAAATATAAAACACCTTTCAATAATTAAAACGCAGGAAAGAGATTAAAAATGGAAGACCAACTGCACCGACGGAGAACATTGCGAACATTAAAGAGGAACCTCTGGATGATTATTCAAACAGCGAAGAATCACAGCGGTACCAATCATCTCCAGGACGACAGATCAAACCTCAACCACAACATTCGCTACCAACATTCAAGGCTGATTTTTCACCTGATTACCGACCGGTTCGACCCATCATACCGACTGCGCCGATGTTTCCGTTTAATCCCAATCTGCCGTTTCATCTGAACTATTCGTTTTTCTCTGACTATCCGTTTCCGGCTAGCCATCCTTATTTTCTCCAGATAATGAGACCGTCAACCACTCCATTACCAAACTTTTCTCTCCCATCATCATCGTCCCCACCATCAGCATCAGCAACATCACCAGCATCATCGTCTGCAAAATGCACACCATTGTTCTCATCCTCAACATCATTAACAAGTTTTTCAGAACAACAACAGCAGAAGCCTACTACGTTGTCTTCTCTTTCCACGCCATCTTCTTCGTCGTCATCTTCCTCAACGTTAGTTAATCCACCGGTCACTCCAAACAACACAGCCAAGTTAAGGGCCTGGCTGACTGACCACATGGACCACCCCTACCCCACAAAGGGCGACAAGATTATGTTGGCCGTTCTTTGCAAGATGACCTTGACACAGGTCTCAACGTGGTTCGCTAACGCTAGAAGACGCATGAAGAAGGGAGGAGATGGAAGTGACGATCTGGAAGAAGAGAGAAAAGATTCGTCATCTTTGACGTTGTCACCACCTTCTACTTTTTCTTCATCATCATTATCTCCGCTGACGTCATCATTTTCAATATCATTTTCTTCAACATCAACACCATCTACCTCAGCATCAACTGTTTCCTCATACCCAGATAGCATCTCACATGCATCTGCTTTTCTTCCTCAGATCCCATCCTCAAATTGCTTTCCAAGAAGTTTCGACCAGTTTTCCCGCCCCTGTTACTTTTCAAACATTTACAACCCTTATTTTACAAGACTGCCGGGATTCAATCCCAACTTGCACGCCAATCACTTCATCGATTACAAACCACAAACGCAGCAAGTGCCTTCTCAAAACAGCACCAACAACTCAGTCAGACCTCCCTGGCCTGCCAAGAAGCGTAACAAGGTGTGGTCCATAAAGGATATACTCGGCTCCTCCTAACCCCTTTTTCTGTATTTTAAGAAGCGTAACAAGGTGTGGTCCATAAAGGATATACTCGGCTCCTCCTAACCCCTTTTTCTGTATTTTAAGAAGCGTAACAAGGTGTGGTCCATAAAGGATATACTCGGCTCCTCCTAACCCCTTTTTCTGTATTTTATTATAAGTGGTTGTATATCATTAATTTTTTAATTTTGTTATTTTTAGTGACTTACTTACTTTTTTATATGATACAAAACACTTGTAGATATCGTTTTGGTTTGTTTTATAGTTGTTTGAATGGTTCAAGTCGCCCTATAAAAACGTTAAATATGAGTAAATAAAATTCTTCAATAAAAAAAATGTGAATTTTTTTTACCTTTAAAAAACATTTATTATTTATATATATATAATAAATAATATATATATATATATATATATATATATATATATATACATAATTAAGTTATCAATCAAACTGTTTTTCAACTTAAATTCATTTTTAAATTTGGGACACTATTACTAAAAATTTTAAAACATCAAACATAATAACTCAAAAAAACTGGCAACAAGTATTTACGCTGCAGTTAACAATGAGATCATTGAGCCAGGCACTCGTTGTCATGTAGTAGGTAATAATAATGTGATTTGTTAACGTTGTATGTGCGGTTGGAGGTATATTGATTGGCTGACCAACCGATCTTTGCAGATCAGTTCTTCAATTGCAGGCAACCTCAATCATTTGAAATGTCATTAGATGAATGAATGCATGTTTGTATATGTTTATTTTATATTTAGTATGTGGTATGCAATACATGCATGTTTGCATATATGAATGTGTTTGCATGTGTGTGCATCTTACGCGAAACTGAAATGAACCACTTGTGGGTAGTTGAAGGAATGGAGACTTACTTTCTTTACAGACATGTGGGCGATTTGCTAATGATTTTATGTTAATAATTTGGTGACCTGTCATTGTTACAATACGTTAAGTACCTTCGTGTGCATGTGTGTGTGCATGTGTGTGTATGTGTGCATGTGTGTGTGAGTGTGTGTGCGTGTTTGTGAGTGTGAGTTTGTGTCTTCGCCAACAAACAACGCATATAAACTCATATATGACTCTCAGAGTAGCAACAAGCATTACAAAAAAAAGAACAACATCGAATTATCAATCTCAATCAGCCAATGAAACGATACGTTCACTAAGTTTTTGGCGATAGGTAAAATACATTTTAGCCTTTTTGTAATAAAATATGAATAAACAACAAAAATCAATTAAATGGACGAGTTGTCAAACGAGTGCAAACATTAATGGATGACTTTTATCTGTGAGTGTATGTGGTTCAAACAACTTTACAAACAACAAACCAACTATTAAAACAACAACAAACATCAAATAAGCATACCATTTCAACATACATAGGTAAGTACACTAATGCAAACACACTACACAAATACATACATACAAACATGTGTGGTTTGTGTGGCTCATTCATTATCTCATACTTGCTAATTATCTTTTATTGTCCTCGTATTTATGATTGTCTGTGTGTGTGTTTGTGTTTGTCAGTGTATGTGTTGTTTGTATGTGTTGTGTGTGTGTTTGTGTTTGTCAGGTCAGTGTATGTATGTGTTGTTTGTCTGTGTGTGTGTGCGTGTGTGTGTATATGTGGGTGTTGATCAGTGTATGCATGTGTTTGGATGACAATAAATAAAAATATATTGATTGGATAATAAAGACCAATAAAAAAAGCAAAAATGATACGGTGAATTACACATTCAAACCATTTTTGCAGTTTTGTCACTTTCATGTTTTACTCTTTCACAACACTTCAATGATGTTATTTACGACATGTTACAGGCACGTACACACGCGCGCACACACACACAACATACACACACACACATACAAACCCACACACACACAGAGGCTTACATAAACATACAAATTCTCAGCAAGACATACAAGCATGCACGCTTAAATCACTGATATAAACAACATACACGAAAATACAAAACACACACACACACATGCACAAACATTTGATGAAATAATATAAAATAAGAATCATTCATTAAATGATTTTACGACACCTTATTAATTAATCAGCATGGTGGAGCCACATTTAGAAGCTGGTTGAAATGTTATCTCATTAACATTTGCTGGTACTAACAGCTTGTTTGTCACCATTGTTAACTTACTAATGTACATATGTGTGTGCAATAATGACACGTTTTCACACGTTCACAAACATAAGGACAAACACACAAACATGAAGACAAACACAAAAACATAGAAACGCAAAAGCAAACATACATAACTTTAAAAACTGATTATTCTCAAATTGGTGTCTTTTACAAATAAAAAACTAAAAAAATCCGTGAAATAAAATCGAAGAAACTCACGCACATAAACAAATACACAAATTTTCACACACAGACACACACGCACAAACACACTCACATTCACATACTATATATTAATGATTGTTAGTATCCATGTCTCTTGCTTATCTCTTCAATCTTGTTCGCCACCAACATCAACAACGGCTTTGACTGTGGTTGATTTATTGCCACTATTATTTTTATTTTAAATATAATTTGTAATAATAATAATAATAATAATAATAATTATAATAATAATAATAATAATAATAATAATAATAATAATAATAATAATAATAATAATGGTAATAGAGTTATGTCCTTGTTTTTATTAGTGTTGATGTATTACATTTTTATGTAATTTTATTTTATTTATTTTGGTGAACTGTCTAAACTTCACAATCGAAAGTTCGTATTTTTTGATTTGGTCAAGTAATTTTTAAATAAAATGAGAATTTAAGTACGAAATGTTGAAAAAAATTGTATTCGATCTACAATTTTGTTTCGGCTGAACCTAGAACCATGTTTCAATGGTGAATTCCGACAGCTTAATGAAATTCTAAGGAATTCGTCAAAACAATCACTAGATGGCAAATTTCTCGCACTTGCATTTGAAAGCTTGCCACTCTTCCTATGTTTCATACTCCTCGAATCTCCATTTGACAAGTAAATATCAGAATTAACTCCCTTGTCTTTCGTTTGGACTATACATTGACAAAGTTTCATCGATATCACAGAAACGTTATAGAATTTATGATAGATAATCTTTGTTATTAGCCAGCAACAATATTTCAGTTTGGCTTTTTTACTAAGATATATTATTATTTCTATTAAATCCGTAAATTATTTGTAAAGGTTGAACGCATTTTTTTAGAATCTATCAGATATAGTTATCACTATGTACAACGTTGCTAGAATTGTTAGATTTTATTAAATGAAGCCATCTTTTATTCTAGCATGTCTCTTTCTTCTCAGATTAATAATGTTGCTAGAAGTTCTTACTTTCATCTACGTAGAATAAAAAAATCTTTTGCTTTTTCTTGACGATCCTACTCTTATCCTTCTTATTACTTCGCTAGTCTTGTCTAGGATTGGTTGTAACTCTCTCTACTACGGTATTCCTGATTCTACACTCTATCTTTTAAGTAAAGTTTTAAAGCTTTCAACTCTGCTGCACACACACACACACACACACACACACACACACACACACACATGGATGTTGTTTCAAATAACAAATTTTGGTTAATTTTATGAAGGTAACATATTTTTTGGCATACACAACATAAGAATTAAAAGATACGTATACTCTAGAATAAAAAATTAACACACATCACACGCCCTCTCCACATAACTAAATGGAGTTGTTTAATCAGGTAGCATGAATATTATTATCAAATCAATACATACACACACACACACACACACACACACACACACACACACACACACATACACACACACACACAAATACATTTATATATATACACGCACACACATACATATAATCTTTTGCCCGTAAAATTGTTTTTGCCAACGTAATTAAAATTGGTTTAGATGTTGTTTCAAATAACAAATTTTTGTTAGTTGTATGTATTAAGCATACGCAGTTACATACGAAAAATATCATAAATAGAAGCAACATTTAATCAAAACGCATCTACAAACAAGTCACTCCCAGCATGAGGCATTCTTTTAAAGCCATCCAAGCAAGCCAAACAAAATCTGGGAAAAAGAAATTTATTTAGAAATTTTGCTTACAACCTACATTGCACACTCAATCTCACAGATATATGCGTATATGCACATACGCACACACACACATACATACACACTTACACGTACATATGCACACATATATATGCACACATACATATATACCAATATTGTTTTATTGCGCAATTTATTACGACATGTTTTTTGTTTTTATTTTTGTTTGTTCTACTTGTTAGTGCTTTTGAGAACTCTTTGTGTATAATAATAATAATAATAATAATAATAGAAATTATAATAATAATAAATACATACATATACATACACACTCACGCATATACATACATACAAGACAGCGCATATGCACGGTAAGTAACTTGCACAATATAATCCAATATATCGAACGCATCATGTTTTTTTTTTATACATTTTTCAACAATTCCCAAATTTGTTGTTCACCATCCCGTGCAGCCACATATGCAAAAATGTACTGAACACTATGAGAAACAAATTTCACTTCAACAACATTCAAAGAAGTTTCTTCAGCTATTGCAACGAAAAACACATCAAACAAACCTTTATTAATTCAATTAAACTTAACAGAAAAAAAATCCAGCCAACCAAAATATTCATTTATATTTAGAAATTGTATAAAAAAGTT